ATGTGATTAAAGTATTTTGTGTGGAAATGTGAAACTTTCTGATAACTTTCTGTGAAGACATTTTCATAGTGACTAAACCCTTTTGGGACTCTTTCTGTCTCAAGTTCAAATTACTTAGATAGCTATGAGGAATATTTTATAGGCCCCTATGGTCAATGATAACAGTAGAGAAAAAGCATTCGTTGGCTATGTAATTTAGCAAGGCAGTCTTTTTAGATTTTCTTCCATCACGCTGCTGCAATTCTTTAAATAATTAACCTGTTTCTCTGCAGCCTGACAAGTCCCAATTTTTCCATCCAGGGCCTGTGATGAGTGATTAGCTGGGACAGGTTGCTTTATTTATTTTGATGACTAAACATCTCAATCCAGTTTCTTTGTCGTGGTATGACAGACTCTAGAGATGTTATCCTTTGAATTTATAGTATTTATAAATTAGAACAAATTGGTGAGATCCAACAAGAAAAGGCAATAGGTAATTTTATTTATATTTTTATTTTTGTTTTTCTTGTTAGATGCTCTAATTGAGAATCTATTGAACTTTAAAGGGTGTATTCAAGTTCAAGGGTATTGAACCTCAGGGTTGTTGAACTAAGTCTCCAGAATCTGCACAAAGTATCCCAAATTACAGACCTGGACATTCCCAACGAAAGCAGTAGAGGATGGCACAATGAGGCAAGAGGCAGCTTGTACCCAGCCAGATCTCACAACCTAAACACAGGGTCCTGAAAGCAGAGTGTTAAGTTGGTTTAGCAAACCAAGAACAAGAAAAGGAGCTTTTGAGAAGTTAAGGTTTTCCTTCCTAAAGAAAATCTCCACAGAAGTGCAGGCCCCTGATGGATTCACAGCAAAACTTGTGTCTTCTTAGGGAATGTCCTGTTGGGGACATGATGTGCTCTCTGATGACAGATTTATCCAAACTGGGGTTTGGTTATGACTTTCTGTTTTTCAAAGACCTCATGTTCAGGGTAATTTTTGCAGAGGATTTGCCAAGTGCACTCTGCAGCCTCCTCTGCTCATATGCACAGTGCTAACTCCACTTGAATTTTCTGTGTAGCTCTGGACATTCTTTCCTCTTGACTGTGGGTCATGTTGCTCCTTAAAAATGAAAGTAATAAAGAGGCCACACTGAATTTGAATGGAGACAGGACTTGATTTATGGAATACCACCCATGGGTGTGCTGGTGTGGTTTCTAGAAATCTCCAGGCCAAACTTACCTTAAAAAACACAGGGCTTTATCCACACCTTGCAAGACATTCAGAATGGCAGCATGAAGGCCTGTTATGGATGGGGCTAATGCAATCTTAAACTGAGTAGAACATGCTGCCTGAAAGAGGAGTAGGCTAGAAAATCTTCTATGTGTATATCCCAGCCTCTAACACAGAAATAAGAAATGCAAATGCTTAAGCATTTAAAGTAAGGCTCTAAGTTCCTTGGCATGTGTTTAAAGTTCCCTAGAATGTTCTAAATTGAGGCTCTTTGGCCTCCCTGGGGTCTGATGAGAGAGTTTAAGGAGAGTTCATTTGCGGGGAGGGGTATTTTTATTCCTCCTAGCTGTATACTGCTCACTTCGCCCTGGGCCTCCATTGATTTCAGGTCATTAGCCATAGTGAAAGTCCCATCAAAGCACAGAACTTATGTAATTGTGTTTCAGGGGAGGAAGAAGATCAAGGGCAGCTCCTTGGCAGGCCTAGTCAATACTGTTACCAAGGTCACTCAGCCACTCGTGTCTCAGAGGCACTTCCAGGCTAAAACACTCCCTTTGTGTTTGTTTTACAGTAATAGTGGCATTTCCTCAAGTCCCCAGAAAATATGTAATTTTCGCAGTGGCCAGCTCCATCAAATGTTATCAAGTTCAAGTTGAACTTAAATCTTACATCTACTTTTTCTTACAGCCTTGTCGACTAGGTAATTCTCTTTGGACTCATTGCTCACTGTGTCAGTTAGAAAACATACTTATTTTCACTGGTGCAAAAGAATCAAGAGATATGCAATCTATGAATGGGTTCTCTCAACTTTCCATTGTCCTTTGTAGACATCCTCAATTGGTCTTCTTGAAACATGGATGCTGGGTGTCAGCTATCAAGTCTAGGGTCCAAATGAGGAGAGGGTGAAGACACTAAATCAGCTCCTATAAAAAAGCTTTCATCAGATGGGCTACAATGGTGTCACTTAACACCATCCCAGCTGCAAAAATGATCGAGAAGCATAGTTGCAATGTCTTTTTTTGTTTGTTAGTTGGTTTGTTTTAAACCTTAGCACACTATTGTTGCTATTAGGCATTTGCTAGTCAGGATGCAGCAGAAAAATGAGTACTTGATGAAAAGGAAAATTTTAAATATCCATTTTACTACTTTGTTTTGGAGACAAGTTTGTGCACAACACTTGATCATGTTTGATGAACTGGTGGCAGGAAAAACAGTGTTTCCTTCTCTCTCTCTCTCTCACAGTCTGTTCAAGCACCCAGTGGAGCAGTGCTTAGTGCCACATTTTGTTTTCCCATCTAATTAACGCCAATGAATAATTTCATTTTTCGAGAGAAATAGATGGTATAAGGACAACATATTCAACCTACTTATCATTGTTGAGCATTTAAAATGAGAAATGCCATTTTGTACAGAGGCTTTTTGTAATGCCTACAGATGCAAGTAATTGTTCTTGCAGATATAGCTGCGCTACCTGCTGTCAAAAACCCATAAAAGTGGCTCACTCTGCTGAGTTTGCTCTAATTATAGGAGGCAGCATTCTGATGTTCAGCAAATAGAATTTGAACGATAGAGAACCTAACTTTATGCACAGACTTTTGTGGGTTTTTTAAGATCTTTATTATGAAGTGATTCATTTTGGGTATCAAACTATGTTATAAAATCTCCCCAGAAAATTAGGAATGAATATTGCATGTGATTGCTGATCTGTGTACAAGGATTTAATTATAGAGCACACACACAAAAGAACATATTAATAGAACATCGACGTCCCCTGTTCTGACACTGTCAAGGCACACTAGATGGACAGAATTCATGATGCACAGAATGGTGAAAAGAAACTAACTATGAATTAAAGCAACTTAAAAATAAAAGAAGTGGAGAATAATTGATTCTTCCTGTGACTTTTTTTCAATCTTGGAGATTGCAGTATTTTAATATAGCCAAGTAATTGCTGCTACAGAATCAAAATCTACACTGTGTGTGTGTGTAATTTGAAAAATCAAATTTGCATTTCTGAAGCAGTACAGAAAAATAGTGTATTAGTTAGATTTCTGATATTAAGCTTCAGGAAAATTTTTTAACTTGCGTGACCTGAACATATCTCTTTTTTGTAAAACAGTAGTAATGAAAGATTAGCACATGTGCATTTAAAAAGTAACCATACTGCTTTATGTAGCAGAGAGAAAAGAAGTAAAGAAGGCGGGTGGTGGGGGGAGGAGGGAGGAGAAAAAGAAGAAAATAAGAGGAAAAAGAAGAAAAGCATTTAATATACCTTTGTATTTTACTTTTACTGATAACTTGGACTGTGATTTAGGTCAGGTTACTTGGGAGTTTTAGTTCAAATGGACAGACAGAGAGAGAGAGAGAGAGAGAAAGAGAGATTTTCCAGAAAAAGCAAAAACTATGTGTATGTAAATAAAACAAATAAAAACTGTATCATATACTTATTGCCAGATCAATAGCAATGGAAAAAAACACCTGCAAATAATTCTGAATGCAGCTGATATATCTTCAATTTATAAAGTGACTGTTCACTCCTAGGTGATTGGGTTTGTGCTGAAGATAATCATAAGTTAGCATCTTTTCACATGGAAATAGAGCATACAAATGTATCTCATGTCCTAAAATTTAGGCACCCCCATAGCATTCACAATATTCATTTAATGTACATTAAAATTAGCTTACTTGTATAATAATTCACAAAATCATCCCATTCAATGATTTTTCCAGGTTCAACAAAGTGGTTTCTAAGCATTCACATCTCAAGTCATTAAAGGTACCATGGCGGGAAGTACACATAACTACTCTGGGCACAATAAATACTCCCCTCCCACATCGACAAAGATTCTACCTGTTATATAACTGCCAGTGTTGCAGTCTCTTAGGACACAAGAGAAGAACTTTTTCTCTCAAAGTGTCTGACGTTGCTTATAGCTGCTATCCATTTCTCAACCCATCTCTGTGACCCTAACCCTTTTCCACATCCTTGAAAAAGGTGAAAGGTAGGTACAGGAAGTCCCCTTGACCAAGAACCTGGAAAGGTCACAGTTGCCTTATTTCTGCTCCTCATTGGTTGAGGTCAAACAAATTATATGGCAGAGAAATACTGCTCTAAATAATATTGTCAACTTCTCTTCTGCCACATGAGTTGGTGGGAAAATATTAGCTTCTAGCATTTCTAGCCCATTACCTGGGCAAGGGTAGTAAAAGAAGTCTGTGAATGTGGCATTGTCAATTTCTTTACACCCACTACCTCTGCCTGCTGATGCCAAGACACTATGAAAGGCAAATGGAGTGACCTGAACTAGCTGCTGGACTTGATAGTAGTGTGTCTTGGCATTATGGTACCGAATGCCTATCTTGTGTGTCTTGGTTAGATGATAGGATACATTATACAAGAAGCCACTCATTTTTATTATCAATTCTATCGATGTAAAAAGTTATTCATTCTATCAAACATGAATGCCTACTATTATTTATTCCTGCATTTTGCCTTTATTCTCTATTACTGAATATCTCACCTCCAATGAAAGATATATGAGATAATGAAAGGAGACTGAATTTATCAATTAGGCTTCTCATAGTATAAATTTGCTAGCAAAAAAATTTTTAATAATAGAAAACTACGAAAATTGTAGATTACCTTTTACCAAGTTGAACCTGCTCTACTTACTGTTATCACCATAAAACATAGCTATAACATTTTTTTAGAAGCTGTGTTTGCAACATCTTGCTTTCTGGTGATTAGCTGGAAAGTAAAATGATCAGGTGGTCCCCCTTCTTACACTGCAACACTACATCTGGGATTCTACAGAGATCCTATTTAAAGTCAGGACAGCTTTCTGATAAGGTGCTTCCTTACACTCATTGAGGGTAGAAGTGGTGGTCTCCTCTGGGTTTTCACAGCTGCTCACAATGGCAACTGCACTAAATGACTTTTGTCTGACATTGGTGTCTGATGTGCCAGATCCTCCTACAGGTGGTGCTTTTTCCATATTGAGGAGCTGTTGGTCTTTCCAGTCCAGTTGTTTGGCACTGCAAAAGGGGGCATAGACTTCTACACTTCCCTCAAACTGCAAACAATTCACTTTGTAATACTTTCTTTTCACTTCCAGAACATCATTAAACCTATGACCCCAAAGAATTTCTCGGGGAACATACGAACTTCTAGATTGATGGGATGTCCCAGTGGAATCACCAGTATAGATAAATGTCACCAAAATCTCAAAGTTATCTTTGGCCACTGCTTTGCGGTCAAGGGCATACAGAGGACTCTCATGGTCAATTTCATGAACAATAGTTACGGGAGTCACCAGGATGATCTGGTCATTGACCAGTTTGAGGTCCTTGAATGCCATCGTCATCCTCCCTTCACTGTCTTCTGTGTAACGGAGAAGTTGGGCTCTCACAGTTCCTTCAACCACATGGTTGGGTCGGAAATCACCAATGCGCCACATGAGGCATAGCTTCCCATCTCTCATACCTATGAGTGCAAAGTAGCTAAATCGGATGGTTTGGGCTCTCTTTCGAGCAGTTGCCATCTTGGCCAAGGCAGCTCCAATGATGAAGGTATTTATGATGCAACTTAGGATGGACTGAAGGATCACCATGAGCACTGCCACTGAGCACTCTTCAGTGACGCATCGGTAACCATACCCTATGGTGGTTTGAGTCTCAAGGGAGAATAAAAAAGCCGCTGTGAAAGAATGCACGTTGTCAACACAAGGTGTGATGTCTGGGTCATTTAAGAGATCCCCATGATGAAAGGCTATTAGCCAAAAAATAGAGCCAAATATCAACCAGGAGAGAATATAAGACAAAGAAAATATCACAAACATATGGCGCCATTTGGTGTCCACCAGGGTGGTGAAAATGTCGACCACATAGCTCCCCCATTCTCCAAAAATGTGCTTGAAATACACGTTACAGCTGCCATCTTTGTGAAGCAGACGCCTTCGTGCTCGTCTCTTCTCAGCTCTCACATGCTCTGGGGGATAGCCTGGGTATGTGGGGTCCACATTTACAAACTGATAGTTGCTGCCATGGTAGCTCATTCTTTCTTGTGCCTTGGGCATGCAGGTGAGTTCTGTGGCAGTAAGAGCTCTAAGTGTGTTACTGCTTCTCAGTTTGAGTTTTCAGGTAAAATCTAAAAAAAAAAAGAGAAAAAGAAAATTAAACACACATTAGCTTTAGCTTTCAATTTCCACCTTCACAGCAGTTTGACAAATTGGGAGCAATCTATGCCATCTGAAATAACTAAGGCTTCATTTGAAGCATAGAGCCACTCAGTATTGATTACTCATTTCAGTTTAGAACTCAGCTCAGTCATTACAGGAAGAAAATATGCAATTAGAGAAAATAACATTTTTATATATGCATAAGGCTTGAGTAAACACTATGATTATCCCAAATGATGCCTCACTCTTCTCCTGACCTGACACGGGAAACATTTGCTTTATTTTCATAGACTTTTCTTGCATGAGAACCTCTAGAAAACAATGATATCCATAATAGACAAAGCCAAAATAGAATTCATATATTTGTCTAGCAGTCTCATAAGCTTTCTATCTACTTAAATCCAGTGATTTTCTTTAAAAATCACTTGCTTTTTTAAAGAAAGTTGCAATAAAGAGTTTCTACCTTTGTTTATAATGGATCGGTACCCTCCAATTTCTATAATAGGTAGCCCCTCACCTGTTGCTTCTTCTTTCTTCTACACAGGCTGTTTTTCCTTGTGTGCTTCCAAGGACAGAGCAAACCCTACAGGGGCACCTGCTTCAGCTGAAACTCTCCTTCTCCTAGCTCCACCCTTAGACGTGGTTGGAAACAAAAATCTTTCTTCACCCCAGAGGAGTTAGTATCACTCCTAGGTAAGCGTTCAGTAAGGTGTAAAGTTGCTTCTGCCTTTGTCTACATCCAACCTTTTTTTTTTTTGGACATTAGCAGCTCTTCTTTTCTGTTTCCCTCTGAAAAGAACCAAAATTTTGCCAAAGTCACTAATCTTGTTTCCCTCTTAAAGGGAGCAGATTTCAATATAATTGGATCCTTCTACTCTTCTGTATTTTCCTGGTGCCTTAACAGTCATCCTTAGGGAACATAATTTTTCCCTCTTCAAATTCAGTCTGGGAAAGGTGAAAGCAGTACCCACAGTCTTTATTGTTTTTAAACATCCAAGGGTTTCCCAACTCAAGCGTGAAAGTAAACTTTAAAAATGCAGTTATCAAAATTGTCTTTAGATACTTCTGTGCAAAAAGACAGAAGTAACTGCAGCCTATTTAATGGTTCAGTAATTACTAGAATATGTGATTTACATACTCCACCTGTGCAAGATGAGAGAAGAGAGTGTAGGCAGAGACATTATACAAGAAGATACTGCCATTCTTGCATGCAAGAAAATGCAATGTGAATAAATACTCTTCCTGACATTGAGAACCCCTGGAACTAACCAGGGAAATTAATGACTACTGACTCCAGCATCTTCCCCACTGCAAAAGGACAGAAAGAGTTAACTTCTCCCTAGTGTAAAAGAATCATTTTTCTCCTTCTCCAGGGACCAGGCTCACTTTACAATGGATTCTTTGTGTAGTCAGTCACTTACAAAGATGAACTATGCTTATGGCCAAAACCTCCTGTAAAGCATTGTGGATTTCTCCTTATCCATCTGCCTGCCTTCAGCCACTTTATCCACCCATCCTCCAGATCTGTCCTAAGTACTTACATCCTCTTCTTGGTCTTCTTAGTCAGCACTTTAAACATGTAGGAGGAAAATATTGTATAATTTCAGGGCATGACCCAGGCCTGCCAAAAATTCTTATTGGAATGTGGACTGTAAAATATTTTCATAAATTTTACCCATAATGTCTACCGTTCATTGGCTATTAGAGACTCCTTTCCGAGTAGTCATTAAATGGCACTATAAAAGGAAGATGCTACCATTGGATTCTTAGTGTCTATCTACTCTCTTCTCAGAATAGAATGAATAATAATTAATGGACCATATGCTTTCAAATTAAAGAACAGATTTGGAGATAGAATATTTTTTGTTGTTAAATCCTTCCAACTCACTTCCTTAAAGGGAACTACTCGACATCATGGGAGGCTGAGACACAGTGAACACAGTTCATAAATCAAGAACTACTGTCTGACTCTGCTCTTTTGTGCTGCCAAATGAAAAGAAGTTCTAATTTGAAATGGCTTTCAGTTGGTATCATTTTGAATTCCAGCAGTGCCAGAAACTGTTACAAACAAGACATTTGAAAACACCTTCCAAGCTGCTAATCAGTGAATGGAATTTCAACTAATACAAGTTACAATTGAGCAAATTTGAATGTGTGGGAAATTTGTTGATGAACAATGAGACAATTTCAGAGATACAAATTACAACTGTGAGAATTTTGCCTCCAACTAACTACATCTTTTAGTGTGATTCATTATGTTCATCATTTTTTTCAACTTGTCCAGAGGCAAGCATGTACATTGTGTTTAGGTTCCTACATTTTAATCATTTGTTCTTTAAATTTTCAATTCATAAATGATACATTTTTAAGGACAAATGCCTACAAATCACATGATAGGTAATCAAAGTCATCATATTCAAGCTTATCTATTTCTCAGCCTAGACAATGAGCAAAGGTGTTTATGGAGACTCATTTTTCAAAATGGCTAGATAAAATAAACATTTATTAATCTCTTGGTTAGTATATTGTGTTGAGTGCCTTTTCAACTGCTTGCCATTTGCATTAATGATACTTAATATTTGTGTTTCTTAGGATTAAAAGGCAGTCTTAACATTACTTTAATTGCTTTCATAATCCTCTTGCCACCACCAATTAGACCATGAAAAAGCATTTGTAATCTTGCAATTTTGGTGGGTTTTTTTGCATGTTCCTCTCTAGAAATTGATGAGGCCTGTTTCCATTGTGTTCAAAATTCCTTTTTTAAAATTAGGAATGGAAATTAGATCAAGTGTAATTATAAAATTATGGAAAATGAAGTTCAAAGGCCAATGCTGAATGAAGTAAAATCTATTTTGCCAGGTAATTAATGACATATGTAGGGAAAGGGCCAGGATTCCTTCATCATGGCACTGGTTCTTTCACAGATGGAGCTAGAGAAAATGATAATGCATAAAAAATAAGGACGGCAAGTCCTCAGAACTTCATTGAAGTTCATTAAAATGTCCAAAGACACTTAGAAAGGCCTTAAGAAGCAAGGTGACTCACTTCAACTCACAAAGGAAAGCTGAGAAAGAGAAAATTGGAGGGATCAGCTAATTCAGTCCTGATAGCCATGTTTCTCATACCTTGTCAGTGTATTAAGACAAAGAATCATTTCTTCATTGGCTAGGATCTGCTTTTAGCCTTAACTTTCTAGGCCTTTGTATGGATTCAAGAGAAAAAAAATCTTTTTCTAGTTCAGCACATTGACAATCGGCCATAAACATAACAAGAAGCATCTTCAACAAAAAATAAGCAGATGACATTTCACATATTTTTGCTTATCCACTTGACACAAAGTTGCCCCAATCAGACTTATAAATTCTGAAGTATCTTTTTCTCTGCTGATTTTCTACATCCTTTCAAATTCTACAATTTGAAACAATTTTGCCAGGTAAACTGCTCTTGCACATAGTTCTCAAAATGTAAGATTTTCTTCTGCATATCCAGGGTACAATACAATGGTTAAGACTTTACAAGTTTGTGTCACATTGATGATAAAATTCAATCTTCTCATAAATCCTTAACATAAAATATTAATTATCGGCCATGTATAATTTAAGATGCACCATAAAATGGTCTAAACTATTTTTGGTGAAATCCAATTATTACGCCTATGGCCTTTTAGGTGAACAAGTACTTTCTTTACCACATAAAGCATCTGAGGTAGTTAACAGTTGAGTCATTAGTAATCAAATTACTCTCCTGGCAGCTATTAGATGAGATAAGTTTTGGTGGAAATGTGAGAGCCAATGGGGTGGAGAGAAGAAAAGATGGCCTAATTCCTCACACAGGCCATAGTCTTGAGAAACAGACTCCTCTCTGGGGAAGAGGGAGGGGGTGGGGAAAAGTAGAGTCAGTAGGGATGTAGACCAGGTATGGGTGGGCTCTCATGGCTGAAAAAGAGGGTGTTCAGTTAGGACAGACTCCTAAAAAAAGTTCAGCTACTTTGTTATTTTGTTCAAAACCTGTTCTGCAACTTCTTGCCTTGGAATGATGCCAAAACTTATCTTGCCTAGATTTTTCATAAGACATGCAGACAACACTCAGATGGAGGTCTTCATTCAGGTACTGGAATTCTGCTTCATTCAAAACCTACTGGATACCATCTTTGCTACTCCAAATCTCCCCTGACACCGGTTCTCAAAGTTTCTCCATGATGAACAGATCCTTGGCTTGCCCGTGCTTCCGCTCAGCTCTTCTCATTCCCAGTACAGAGCATGGGATGACGGCCTGCAGCTCTTATTCCACTTCTGTTCCTTCCTCCCTCCCAACTCAACCTTCTCACCCTAATCCAATGTCTCAGGGGCAATGACTTTTACCTTTTTCCTGACTTAACTTACATTTTCGTTTCCTGAATCAATTCAGTAGAGTTTTGTACCAGTGCATTCTAGAAAGGGGTTATAATGCATTCTGAGCAAACAACCAGCATGGAAGCTGGGGCTGGGGAGAAGAAACACCTTAATTGTGACATTATCTGGAGATCCTAATTCCAGCCCAATCTTTTTTCTTCATTATAAATCCTGCTTCAGTCAAAAATATTGCTATAATTATAAAGAAATAGAAACTTGAGACCAGGATTGCCCCACTTTCTAGATGTTAAGATTGTATAAACATCAATATGATCCTTACTGTATACATGTATTGAAATATCACACTACATTGCAAAATATGTGAAATTATCATATGTCAATTAAAATAGAATAAATTACAACAAAATGATACAAATTATAATCCTATGTAATCTGGTTTAAAAATAAAATTAGATTAATTAAAAAAAAAGCTAAAAGAATCTGGGTATTTTGATAACACAAAGAAACCTTACTTGGGATCCAGACTCTAGTTCCTAGTTTGTTCTCCTGAAAACTACTTTTCTCTGAACCTCAGTGTACTCATTCAATACCTAAGCCACCAAGTTACTAGGAGGATTGGATGAAATAATGGATGAGGATCCTCTATATACTGTGACAAACACATAGTAGCCACTCACTAATTATTGCTTGAAGCTGAATCCCACGAGGACTCAATTTCCCCCCATAAAGTATCAGAACATTTGCTGCTCAAAAACCTTTCCACTGGCATATTAGGTGAGATAAGATGTGTTCCCAATACACATTTCTATTTAAATTCAGGGATGTTATCACAATTGTTCCACCACTTCAGCTACCAGGGACACTTCTCTATTCTTACACTAGCTCCCCAAAGCCCCAACTGTTCCATCCTCATACTCTCTTTCTCTCTCTACACCCACACATACATTCAATTCAGTTGAAGAATTTTACTATTATTTACTCTGAAGAACTAACCTAAAGGAAATAAGACCAACAAGCTTGGTTGAGTTAACAGGTTAAAAAAATTAGCAAGGTAATTATCATGCTTATTCTTTGACATAAATTGTGTGTACAATATTCCACTAAAATGGTTCTGATACTTTCTCTTGTTCTTATCTTGAAAATCAGCCCGCCCATCCCTGTCTTGGTTGGACGTTAGCCAAAATCGCTTAGATTTTACCTTGAGCTAGATGTGGGTAGGTACAGAAGTTTGTTATGATAAGATTCTGTCTCTTTAAAGGACACCATTCAATCTGTGCTGTGCAAAGAAAGCATTTCCCCAATGACCTCTAAATTACCTATTGGAGAATTTATTACTAATTATTTTTGCTCTTTTTAAAAATTCCTCACTTTAAAAAACTGAATTCCCTCTATGTGCCAGACCTACACACTTCAGGACACTGGAGAACAGAATTGCACCTTTGTGGAAGTAACCTTTGAGAGCTGAACATGAAAACAATAAAGTCAGACGATCTGTGGTAGTCATAACTACCGTGGAGAAAGCAAATAAAATGACAGCGTGGAGAAGGGCCCAGGAGCAAGAGGGCAGGTTGCTGTGTATCAAGGGCCATCTGGGAAGTCTTGGCTCAGGGCCTGACTTTCAAGTTCACAGTGCGTTCTTCACGCCTAGCCTTAGGTAAAATGCTCCCAACTCATACCTAGATCTCCAGCTTATTTTGTTTGTTTAAGACATAGTCACTATCTGGTTGTTAAGGCTCTCACTATTTACAAGTGTAGTTGGCTGCAGATTCCCTTGTTCTAAGGTAATTTTATGATCTGGTTCTCATAAGAACCTATCATTACAGGCACTCATCTGCACTTTATCACTGAATTCAGGTTTTTCCTGATCTCTTACCTGGTTTTATCTGGTTCACATAACAGCCTACCTTCTAACTTTTCTCTTGGCTCTTTCAAGCAAAGTGTTAATTCTAAACCTGAAATATAACTTTCTGCTACTACATAATATGATCTTTCAATAGAGTGGATAAAGAAACAGGAATATGGAGACCTGCATCCTAGTTTGGGTTCTACTGCATCTCTGCTGCATTATGTCATCATCTCATGAATATTTTTGAGTCTCATTTTATATATTTAAAACATGAGAACAATAATTGATTTACCTCAAAATGTTCTGTGAGGCATAAATAATATAATATGAAAAAATTACGATAGATAGAACCTTAGAAACTCTTTTTATAGCCTTCTAACCAAGATAAATATCTCTTCACTGAAAGCCTGTCGTAATGTGTCCTTATCTTGTCTGAGAGAGCTAGATGCCCGAGCTATGTTTCAAAAGATGAATCAGAGTTAACTAAATAAGAGAGGAAAAAAATTTATCCTGGCAGAAGAATAAGTCTTTACCAACGTTCTGTGGCTCAAAGATCCAAAGAACTGAATGTGGCCAGGGTGAAGTGGAGCAGAGAATTCCTGCTAGGGAGAGAGAGCTAGAGCACAAAAAAATCTTATAGGCAGTAATTCAAAGCTTGAATCTTTCTCCCAAGAACAGTGGAATCTATTGAAGTACCTTAACTAAGGGCATTGTGCAATAACATTTGCATTTTAAAAAGATCACACTGGCTGTCAGGTAGAAAGTTGGTTGGAGAAATTGAAGAGCAAATGAGGACAGGTAAGGATCAGGTAAGAGATGATTGTGGCTGGGATTAAGATGATGTCACTGGATACAGCAGAAGCCATCTCTCACTATTGTGTTTCTTCTTGGAGCAGATGTACAGTAACCAATCAAAACTTTGCAATCAAGGCTGAAACTTGAGGAAATGACACAAAGATGTTGAATGCTATCATTTACAGGATCTATGGGGAATCAGGTGACCAGTGGTGGTGTGATGCCTACCTAAACATCCAAAGAAAAAGTTAAATCTTAATTTTTGGGGAGACAGTCTCTGAGACAAAGTTTTCATTTTGACTTGCCTTTTGCTTCTACTTAAATCAGGTTCTCTCTTTCCCTAAATCGTTTGATTTTCTAAGCTACCTGATTCTTTTTTGAATATTTTCTTCTGCTTGTTAACCAGTGGCAATTTTTGTTGCTTGAACAATGACAAAAATGTTAGTTAAATTTCAGTTTAATAATATTTTAAAAATATCATCTACATGCAAAAGTATGGTCTTATCACTCTCTTTAATTTATATTATAAAAACAATTAACAGGTCCTAATATTGAGTCACCTTCAAAGTAGTTATCTAGATGCTTTTGCTGTTGTCAAGTCATCTCATTTTCAATGGGCCATGTCTTCAATAGACCACAGCAGGAGCTTCCAAAACAGGTCTGCTATTTTTGGTCTTCCTGTACTTTATTCTATTCTATTATAAAAGCAAGATCAAAACAGGTCACTGTTTGCTTAAGAGACAGAGTCTCCCCATTGCAATTAGAATATTTTGTACAATCTGTTACGTGCAGATTTATGTGTCTGATCTCTTCTCTTCTCTCTGAAATATCTCCTACAATTCTTCTACTCCTTGTTCTGTGATAGACCAAACACTTCACTGCATTTTCCTTTTCACTAACAAAAGGGGTCAGGAAACCACATCATGAAGGTCAAATGTGACTTACTGATTGTTTTCATAAATAAAGTTTTATTGTAACACAGTCAGACCACAATTTATATATTGTCCAGGGCTGGGAATTTGTACTGAAAGAGTTCAGGAGCTTCCATTCTAACATAGGCCACTTTGGTATGCTGATTACTTGGCCTGAGGGAAACTGGAGGACAGAGAATGCAGACATAGGTTGTCTCTGGGTCTACCTAATCTCTGCACAGATTTTCCAAAAGAAACTCAATTCGCATTGATTATTTCCCCAGGAGTTTCATCAGCCAAAGAAAATTAACTCGTTTACATGAAAGAATATTTGAGGTCCATGTCACTCCACTGGTCCACTTTGTCATAGACTATCGCCCATTCTTCTAAGAGCCCATTCATCTTTTCCCAAATCATTTACTCTCCTCTAGGATGCCTCCTGCTCCTTACTTCTTTCCTGTGAGCTTTAAAATGTCACTGGTTTGCAGGTGTTCATGCTTCCTTCTTGTGATGCCTGGTCATATGCATTTGTATCCTTTTTTTTTTTTTTTTTTTGCATGTGTTAATCTGTCCATTGTCAACTTATTTGCAGACACTTATTGCACCCTCAGAGAAAAAAGAGAGTCTTCCCTTCTCTGCATCATGCAAACCTGCAGAGCTGGGTAATTTAGCAGAGACAATGTGGTCTAGAAAACCTAAAACATTTACTATTTTAAATATTATTTAACCTTTGATTATTTACAGAAAAGTTTGCCAAGCCCTGTTCTAACACACAAGATTGGTTGATTGAATGGTTGACTGAATTGCTCCATGGAATTCATGCTCCATGAGGAGAGGGTCATAGTCCCTTACTTAGCATTATATCTGTAGTATGAAATAAGTGACACTTACCGACTCACTAATTATGCTGTGTTGGAATGAATAAATAGTTGAACAATGCGAGGATGATAATTATCCTCAAAGAAATCTCAGTCTTACTGAAAGAGTTGGCAATCCATCAACTCTGACGCTTCTCTAAACACCAGCTCTCAGTTCTTTGTTTACCCCATTTTCCCCTCCCACAGTCACCAGCCCATGGACAGTTTTTAAAAACTCATGCTATTTATTTTCATCTAGCAGCTTTCTTAGAGCTCAGTATAATAATCACAGACAACTATGCTGCAGAACTCTCCGGAAAACTGGAGTTTAAAAGATTGTACCTATTTAATTAAATTTGTTAACTCTGTTTATTGAATTATTAGAAATGTGATTCCCCCAATACTAAGGCAAATTATTAAATTGTCACTTTAAAGGCATTCATGCATACTTATATTCCTATATATACTTATATTTCTAAAATATTTTCATAAACATGCATGTCTTTTGCAAGCAGAAAAACAGGTATTTTCAGTTAATATTTTGAAACATACCGATTCTGAGTTTCTATAAAGAGAAAACAAACCAATAGCAATCTAAAAGCATTTATTAGACCTTTTAAAAGGCAGCTATAAATAGCCCAGAGAGGCAGACAGTCTTACAGACATTTCAAGTCAGACATTGATGCTGTAATTTTAGCTGGAACAATTCACAGAAACAAATATAGTGACATTTAATTCATCTAAGTAAAACCAGATCTCATTTGAAACAAGGAGGTGGAGGGAAGAGGGAGTCGGATCAGATTTGGCCACAGGAGACCAATTGGAGAGATCATGAAAGCAGCCAGTAACAAATCAGGGCTACACAAAGCAGAGTTAGAACTAAACCAGCCTCAACATGCTGTTTTCCCTTCTCAGTGCCCCCTTTTGTCTCTTCCCCATTCCAGACCATATTAAACTGCTAATACCTTCCTTTCTTGGCTATAGCAAAGTCAGCTCTAGCAATCCTTCTTTTATCTCAGTATTTTTAGTAACTTTGGATATAAAATGTTAAACATTGTGCTATTGTGCAACCATGCAAATTTAAAGTCTATATTGAAAGACTTTTTAAATCCAAAGAAATGGATGAACTCTGAGGGCAATTACGGATTACGAATGGAGGCTTGCTTAAATACCTGACCCTAGCCAATTCTTAGTAAATACAGATTCACGAATGCTCTTAACTCACCCACAAGCCGTACGGTATGGCAGTGTTTTTGAAAGCATGGTCTTCTACCAATTTGTCTCTAAAGTCCCAGGGGAACATATGGCACTTGTAACCCCTGGGTTCCCTTTTAAGCATTCTGATTTTGTTGTTCCAGTTGAGTCTTATGCATCCTCAACTTTGAGATCCACAATCCTAAAGTTTTAAGAAGTTAAAGAACTGAGATTGATCACTAGTTGCCTGGTTGATCACTAGTAAGGCTGAGCATTATTACATAAGTTAATCAACCTCTTTGAGCTTTTGTTTGTTTATCTGAAAGTAGAATGGGTCACTATGAAGATAAAATAAAGCATCTCTGTAAATTTCCTTATGATACCTGGTATTTGGTAAGTATTTAATCATAGGGCTTGCAGCTATGCTTACACTTTCAACAGAACCAGAGAAATAGAAAAATGGAATCATATTATGCAGATCAAGTATAGATCCATGTGAGAAAAGAGTTAACTACCTTTTTTGTGTGTTGAGAACTGTAAGATTGGCAATTTTCCAGACTTGTTGGGGAATTCACTTTAGCATCTAATTACCTTGACCTTTATAACCCTCAGGAAGACATGACAGACTACCCAGAAGAACTGTAAGTATCACTTAGAAGTCATTCGGTACTTGTCACCACTTTTCTTCTTTCAACTGTAACAAGAATACTGTTCATTGTGGCTCCAACTGCCAGGTTGCCTATGAATGACCTTTAATAATATCCATTTAGCTTTGTTTTTGAGCTCCTTTGATTAAACCTAACTGTTCATTCCAAAACAAATGTAATTTATGGAAAGCATATGTGCTATGACTTTTGACCTTCTTCTCAGAGTTTGGTATTTATGGTATTCCAGCAGAAATCCAAGTCCTATCTCTCTGTTACTATTTTCCCATTTGTGAGAAGGGCCTGCAAATTGTCCTCTTTGGCAACTTACAGAGAGTCTATTTATTAGTCTCTTCCATCTGCCGGGAATCATTGAACTCACAGATGTGATTTGCTAGTAGACCAGGAACTCCCTGGATAGTGTCTACAACTTCTTTGACCTTTAAATGATTCAGTTTCTGTTTTAAGTTGTCAAAATGAAAACTCAGGACATCTTTATTGGAGAGAAAAATAAAGCAAGTGTTACTGGCTGTTGGCTCAATTCCTGTTTCCCCTGTGGATACAGAGAAATCGAGAAGGTCTTAAAAAATACAAGACAAAAGATTCTCCTATGAAGATCTAGACAGAGAGCCCTTAAGAGAATACCATAAGTTACATGTTGCTGTCACATGAGATTAGCTTTCTATTACTGTGTGCCCTCTCGAGACCCCTTGGTACTTGCTACAGATAATAGAAGATTTAGGTAGCTGTTAGCACTTAGTGCATTTGATAGACTCTTGAATCTCCATGCATCTAATTTGTCTCCACTATTTTGCTATAGAAGAATAAGCCATTCTGTCCTGATTTGGAAGATTTGAATTTCATTATCTGAGAGAGTCCATACAAACAGCAGCAATGCCTTCTTTAAAAAGGGAAGTGCTATATTCCAACATTTTCTCAGTCTGGAATATTCATTTTGATGGGCAACAAGGAGTTGAGTTTGGGGCAGATGGAGGAACTTCCCTTTTTCCTTCATTGTAAGGGGTTTAAACCTTCACTGAAGAGTCTTTATTTCACAGTCAAATATTCTGATGTGTGTAGTGTTCTGGAAAAGATCACAGAAATAGTTTTGTGTACTCTTCAATTTAATCAATATTTAACTATATCTGAGGTTCCATAAGGACTGTGACTAAAGATTGTGAAGACCATTACTACCCTTAAGAATCTTGGCCTTGCTCTACCACAGACATTCTGCCAAGAGAACCCTAAGAGCGGAGCTTTCTACGGCAGAATAGGATTGGAAATAGTTGAAAGATGACTGGGTTTGAGATCTTTCCCAGCATTTAAGGATCAGAGATGCTTCCCAGAACTCTATTTTTATGGTTAATTGTTACTTTCTAGGCTAATGAAGGATATTGGGGCCAAAGATAAGGCAGCAAAGGAAAGTAGTGAGAAATTGAATTTGCTTTGATTTGGAATAAATCATATGCTTTATAAAGAACACCCCATTTATGTACACTGCAGGTTATTGAAAATGACTTTCTATTCCCTGAAGTCACCTGTCAGATGAGAAAGATGTAACCAAGAGAAAAATTCCAGGTAGTTGAGCAAAAGGCAGTTTTGGAATTTAAACTTTAATTCCTTGGTCTAATTGAACCAGCAGAGAATGTGCTTATGAAAGTTTGAGTAAAACTTGGCTTGAACAAATAGACTTACCACTGCATCCAGATCAAAATTCTTCCTTAGCCAAGAATGAACACAGCATAATTATATGAAGAAAGATTTCTAATATATTTTGAAATGTCAATAATTTTTTGCTATGAATTTTATTAAAGAGTATAGATAGCAATTTTTACTGCAGACTACATGACCTCCTTTAGTTTGAGCTGATTAGAGAAAGGGGACAGAGATGAAGCAAATGTTTTCTCTGGTAATAAAATTACCTTTTCCTTCAACTTTATCAAAATGTCATTTTGTGCCCATATGTGATAGGGTGATAAAATTTAGAACCAGAGAAAGAAATACCGGTTCTTTAGCTGAGAAGTATAAACTTCACTGACATTTCAGTTCCCAAATCTCACGTAACTTTCCTGTAGAAAGAAAAACTGGTTGCCTGCATTGAAAAAATAAATAAAACAATTTGAGGGTTTGTGAGTGTAGCTCAGCGGTAGAGTACTGGATTTGATCCCTAGCCCCTCTCTCCTCCCAAAGCAGAAATGAATCCTAAAAGACAGATTTTCAGCAAGTTGTAAGTATTCCCATGCTAGCTCCTATGTTCACAAACAAGAGATGAGACATGTGGGCTCAGGAAATATTTGCCCTGTTACTCACTCCTACTTGATTAAATGGCACTAAAATCATGTGAAAACCAGAAAAGTACAAAGCCCAATCCTTCACCCTCCTAACCTCCAAGGCTTCCACTTGGTTTTTGGGTTCTTGGTTTAACTGTTGCCCAAGCATGACAACACTTGTGCTCACCTGCTCATCAAGCAAAGCTGGTCTCTACTTTCTTTCCTGAGCAGGGCCACTCATGACCTCTATTGTTCCTGTTGGAATCTCTTGTATGGAAGTAACACATTGGGACTCATGATTTTGCTTATCTAAGGACATATTGCCCTTGTCCTTTTCCCCAAGGAGATCCTACTCCCAGTTCAGTAGAACTCTCAGTTCAATCAAAATCTCAATTATCTAAGCATGACAACCAGGACATCAACATGTACAGCCAATCATTCAGTGTGGTGCAGTCGTACAGGTCCAGCCTATAATAACTGATAATTTATGATGCACATCCAGATTTCTCTGTGTGCTCCCTGCTTCCACTTTTTAGTAACATCTCTTCTTTCAGGGGCTCAGTACCATGCTGATCTCCTCTGATTCTAACAGCAATTCTAACTGGGTAGTGGGTTTGCACACATATAATTCCTCCTACTCATGATGCAGAGGCAGAAGGATCACAAGTTCAAGGCTAGCTGGAAGAAAAGTTAGTAAGATCTTATCTCGTAAAGAAAAAAATGACAAACAGACAAAATTAGCAAAAAGTGAAAAACAAGTTCTATTTTACAGTTTATGTTTTAAAAATTAGCAAGGTAAGACAGAGAAATTAAGTTATCTACTAGATGATGTAGAGTTGGCCAAAGAACTAGGATTGCAACCCAGGTCCCTGTAACCAGATAGCAAATGGTGCATAAGGTTAATAACACACCTTTGGATATGCATATCTTTTGTATATAAGGCTTGAACCAAGTTTCTAGAATTAAGGAGATTTTATGCTAGTCTTCTACCTCCAGAGAACAGGTTTCAGGGATGCATTTCAGCATCTAAGGTAATTATCAAATTTTGCTGAGATACATCTACTCACTGTACTTATAATATGAGCCCTTGATATACTCATCAGTGTATCCAAGTATAATGAGTAACTATCAACCAACAAAACCAGCAAAGAAAGAGGCCAAAGGAAGCCAGACCTGGGAAGGATGCTCTGAAGAATTAATTGGGCAACGTCTCTCCTTGGACCCTGTTTCCAATTGTAAGATTGCGCAATGGGGGAGTGGACTAAAGGAAAGGCTTCTTGTCTCTGGATGCCTTTTGGAGTTGAGCCAACATGTTTTAACACAAAGGGAAAAACAATCCAGGGTAGGTGATGTCACAACGCATCCTGAGGAAAGCAATAAGGATAAAGCTTCCTCTTGCGTGCATCCAAAGTACACAGCATTACCTTACACTGATTTCTTCTGCAGTCAGAGCTTGACTCATATGGAAGAAGTAGCCTTAGTCATACAGACTTCAGGCTGGAAAGGCAGGTTGGGGATTGATGTAAGAATGTAAATCTGGCTCCTGATCTGTGAGCTGGACTGAAATTCTGATTTCTCTTCTTCATAAGCTCTAGATTATGCATAGCCCAACACCATTTCACTGAAGTAAAAAGAAAATGGGATGGCTCATCCCAAGTACACTCTCAAACTGTGATCAAAATTTGCCTTCTGGGCTGGCAAAGTGGCTCAAATGGTAGAGCGCCAGCCTAACAAGCATGAGGCCCAGAGTTCAAACCTCAGAATCAACAAAAAATAAATCAATAAATTA